TCAAGAAGAGAGGAGTAAAGACTTATCAGAAATAGCCAGTACTGTGGAAACCAGGTATAAAAATCCCGTTCTGTGAACACTTGCTCGCAGGTAGCAAACCAAATTCTGCGGGCCACCTCCTGGTTCCACAACAGGGAGGGCCTCCAGCAGTAAACCAAAAATCATTTGTATTTTGTATCTGTACATCCTGTATCCTGATGAGTGTAGAGCTATAAGGAAAACCAGTAGAAGCTGTCCTCAATTTCCCAATAAAAGGACAAAGTATAAAAAAAACAGGCTGGGGTTGTAGCTGCGTGCTAGAGTGAGTGCTTTGATTGCAAGAGGCTCTGAGTTCAATCCCTGGCAACAAAAACAAACATAAAACAAAAGAGAATTAAAGGGTCATTAAGCTAGGAAGAAAATCTGAATACCCATGAGTGTATTTAAGTTAATGATACTTACATTCACTAAATCAGAATTCTCCAAATCCCCTCGTGGTTCCCTCTTTGTCATCTTCTGAACTGACACTAAGGAAAATTTTAATTAATAAACTTGAAGAAGAGGAAGTATGTAGAGAAATGCAAAATAAAATAGAAAATCAAAATTAAGAAATGTGGAGAAGCCAAGGAAATGAGGGGAAGATGAAGTGAAATAATTGGAAAGAATAACTGGAAAATATTCAGTATGCCAGAAGACAGAAGCAAAACCTTTTTCATGGGACATTCATTTAAAATCTAGAGGTTTTTTTGGGGTAAGTTTATTACCAAAAATAAGGTTGTTAGAACCCTTTGATTTAAACTAAGAATTCACCATTAATACCTAGGATTAAATATCTTCCATGTATATGAAGAAAGCCACAGAAAGGTTACAGAAATCAGGCATTTCATATTTATTTTTAGGTTCATTAATTAACTAACCAAAAAAGACTTACCCTCCTGTTTAAGCTGATGTATAATTAAGGTATCTAAGTACAAAGAATTTGTCCATAAAGCTAAATTAGAATGTAGGAGGTAAAACCTGAGGTTTTTCAGCTACCCTTTTTTAAAAATACAAATTTCTGAAAGCATTATCTATTCTTCCGAGAAAGCATTGAGAAGCTACCAAGGTGAAGCACTATAATAGGTCTTTTGGGGGGTAGAGAGGCAGATAAAGTTTCTTTCTGCAAGTTTATAACAGGCTGATAACCCAAGGGCACTACAGCAAATTTCCTCTCATTTCTAAGCCAGTTTCTTGAAATTGGTTCTCGATGCCTACTGGTTGAGTTTTCTAGAGAGTGCAGAGTTGACCACTATCAACATCAAGGACTTTTATTTTCAAATAACGAATGGTAGGGACACCGAGCACACGTCCATCTCTTCTTAATCATGTAGGATCTTCACATGAGTCCAGGGGCCTGTACCAATCCACGATGCGGTCACACTCTGAGAGCTGTTCAAGAATCAGACTGTTTGATCTTGTGTCCGTGGCCTCAGATTATTCTGCTTGATCATGTCTTGCATCGTTAGTGATTGCTATTTAGTGAACCCCCTCTTTTAAGCTTTAAAAATGAATGTACTAATTAATCTTCCATGTTAAGCACATTTTTTTTTTTTTTTTTTGGTTTTTCTCTGGTACCGGGAACCGAACTCACGACCTTGTGCTTGCCAGGCAGGCGCTTTTGCCGCTGAGCTAAATCCCAGCCCCGTTAAGCACATTTTGACCTTCACCAAACCTCTATGAGGATGGTGCTGTTCCTGTCTTTTCAGTGGATCCGGTGAGATTTAGAAGTGTAAATAAACTTGTCTGGGATCAGGAAGCTTGTGAATGCTTAAGATTCAAACCCAAGTCTAACTACAGCACCTGACCCTGCCACTACCGTCCTACGCGACCAATCTTTTAGCTGAGATCTGAGCTTAAAACATTTTAAAAATTGCATTTCTTTTTCTTACATTTCGTGCCCAAACTCATTTTGTGGCAAAATTTGATCTGAACTGATTTGAGATGATAGTCTTTATCTTACATATAAATGTTTATATTTGTAACTGCATCAATATTGTACTGTATCTGTATAATATTTTGTATTACACAAGTATGGTATATACTCCTTTTTACCTTCCTGTAATAGGCAAACCTCTCAATTCTGAAACCATCTAGCCCCATGATTTTCAGAGAAGAGATACTGACTTGCCCGCTTGTTCTTACTGCCCCCGACCCTCTGCTCTTGTGCTTCTAATCTGTTGCTCTGAATCAGCTGTGAGCTGGAAAATTCAAGCCTGTCAATTTTCACTACCTGAAGGGACTCATACAATTTTTTAGAATCATGAGTTCATATTGATAACCCCAGGTCCAATTCAACACCACGGAGTTCTTGTACTTCTCTGTGGCAGAATTTCCTTCTCTCTGTTACAAGAGAAGTCATTTGTGATCCTTATTAAAGACGGTAAGGGAAGCTTTAAATATCTCTGGGTGCTGCTGTGGGGTTCTGCAGTAGAGGAGAGAGGTCAAGCTGAACTTTGCATGCAGCAGGGACAAGTTGAGATTTGTACCTAAGGAGCAGAGTGTGGGGGTCAGTGGGTGGAAAATTACTAAGAGGAGTCAAGATTGGGGAGATTCCTGCTAGAACTGTTCAACTAGATTCTTACTGAAAGCAGGCCAGAGTGATTAGGTACCCAGGGCAGGGGACAAGGAATTTGATCAGATTTCAAGGATGATACCAAGGATATTTGCAAGATTCTTGCAAAAACTGGCCTAAGCAAGTCAAGATAGAGCCCAAGGTTAGGGCGTACTCACGGCTCTTATCATTCCATTCCTTTCTATTTAACCTGGATGTAGAACTTTTCTCTTGGCATGTGACAATCTAGATTTATATTTTAACTTAGTAAATAGGTCCTTCATCCTATAATGATTCTCACTATGACAAATAACAGCATTTTAGTGTATTTAAAACTAAAATATTTGTACAGAACTTTAAAGAAGAATATATATTACTTGATTTAATCAGAATTATATAGAGAGTGGATGTTGGATGGTCATTTCTGGAGCATTATAACCCTTCCTCGCTTACTTGGAATGGGTATGTGGGGATTAAAGTACTCAGCATAGTCAAAGTGATAAGAGGAAAAGTGAAAGAATCATGAATTAAAGATTTACCTACTGAAGGCCGTCAGTGTACTCACTCAGAATGAGGGCAATGAGGAATGGATTAAGACTGTAATGTTTTATTGTAATTTTTTTAAAAAGAGAAGGGACCCAGAGTCAGTGGAAAAGAAAGGTTCTGCAGATGACTTAAAAAGTGGGGTCTTGTATTTCAAGTCTTATTTGATAGAGCAAGGAAAGGAAGAAACTAGAACGTGACTGAAGTGTTAGGAAGTTGGGTCTCTGAATCTCTCAGTTTCTGCCTGTATCATAGAAGGACGAATAAGGAGAGTTTGGAGGAGAAAAGTGTTGGGTGAGTTTTGCCGATGTTGCCCATTTCAGAGCAGCCTCCAGGGAGCCTGGAGCTGCAGGGGGCCTCGCCAGTACAGGGGGGTCTCACGCAGAACAGAAGGACCAGTGTTTATCGAGCACTTGCTCCGTGCCAGGCTGCACATGTTCACCCATTTAGGCCCTACAGGTTTGAGCCCCACAAAACAGATTAAGGTGGCTGAGATTCAGAGGAGTGAAGCAATTTGCCAGAGGTTTCACGACCCCAAAATAGAGAGGTTGTGCCTGAAGGCTATTTTTGTCTCCAGAGCTCATCTCTTTTTATCATGTCCTCCACCCTCTAGCCATTATCAGTTTACAGAGAGCTGGGGGAGGTGCAAGACCGGTCCTAGAACTATTCTGGCCACATAGCAGCAGGACAAGGAGCTTGGGTTTCTTCTTTCAGTTGCCTTTCTCTCCTTGTGTCCCGTGTGCACAGCCGGCTCAGAGCAGCCTCCAGGAGAACCCCTGACCTTTTATTTTGAAGATTGGTCAACAGAAACATAAAAATCGGGCATCATGTTATATTTTGATGCATATATCCATTGTGTAACGTGTGAATCAAGGCAAACATTTTCACCTCTTCAAACATGTATCATTTCTTTATGGTGGAAACATTCAGAGTTCTTTCAGCTTTTTCAAAAAAGCTGATACAGTACAGATGCACCCTGGTGGTCTAGTGGTTAGGGTTCCGCGCTCTCAAATGCACAGCGCATTGCCATTTGCCGTGGTCACCCTACCACGCAGTAAGTAGCATGCCAGGACTGCTTGCTTCCATCCAGCTGTAATTTAGAACCCACTGATTCACCTCTCCCCCTTGCCTCCTTCCTCTGCCCTTTCCCGTCTGTGGTAACCACCATTTTACTCTCAACTTCTGTAAGATCACTTGTTTTAGATTTTATGTGTGAGGGAAACCATGGGGCTTTCTTTTTGTGCTTGGCTTATTTCACGTTCTCGGGAACACTGTCTTCCCCTCTCAGACATGGCATAATAGATCACGCCGCCTGTGAAGGTATCATGGGCTGGTTTCTCTGGAATCTCTGAGCCCTGTAGCTCAGTCAGAACCCCTCATCTGAAGTCACAGAGCCTCCTGAGTCTGTTCCCATAGTGGCAGAGAAGTAGGAATAGGTTTGAAGAAAATCTTAAGGAACAGTTGGCACGCAGTAGGTGAGTGTTTGTGGAATGAATGGATCTACCGCCTCCTGGAAATCCCTGTATACAGCAGTGGATTTACATGGGCTACTACTTTTGTACTTGGCAGTGTTCCTACAGTGTTTATTTGAAAACAAATTCAGATTATATCCCAGGTCACTTTTATACTACCACTGGTACCACTAGGACTATATTTGTGTTAAGAAAAAATGCTTTCAAGATTGCCTCTTGGGATAAACGCTCTTTTTCTCTTGTAATTAAATTATATTCTTAAACTTGCTATTAGAGAGGATAAAAATTTAACTAGAGACCACAGGATTATTTAATTTCCTCTTCCCAACCAGTTAATAGCTGTGTTACCATGAAAGCACTTTATTTCTCCACTTGTTAGATTTGAAAATCATGGAACATTTTTCATCTCTTACTAGGGAGAGATAATGCATGTGAGAAAACGTCATACATGTTTCTACGAAAGGAACTGCCCGTGCGACTGGCTAACACAATGAGAGAAGTCAATCTTCTGCCCGATAATTTACTGAACCGCCCTTCGGTGGGGCTGGTTCAGAGTTGGTAAGTAAAGTGGCTTACACTGACTCTTCTCACAACGCTCCCAGCATTGGCATTGGAACCATTCTCCACGAAAGTGCACACACATGCTGCCTGCCTGGGGACGAGTCACTGGGGACAGCTTGGTTTTTCCATGCCAATAACAGGTTTTTAAAAAATTTACTTTAAAAAATATTTCTAAATCCTAACACTTTCTTGACTTCCAATTGTATGTTTGTGGTTATAGAGATTGTTATCAAGTCTCAGCGCTGCTCCTTTTGTTTTCCTTTTAAAGAAGTTCCCTAAAGGCAGTATCTCTTGTAGAAAAGAGCAAGCCATTTAAAAGGGAACCTCAGATTACAAAAATATCAGCTCCCTGCTGTGCTTCATCTACCCAGGAAAAGTGAAACATCTTCACTGAGCATAACTTAAAGTTAAACCTGTTGGGGCTGGGGATTTAGCTCAGTGGCACAGCGCCTGCCTGGGAAGCACAAGGTCTTGAGTTCGATTCCTGGTACCGGGGGGAAAAAAAAGTTAAACCTGTTGTAGCTCTGATGCATAAAGCAAATGCTGCTAATGGAGGAAGTTGAATTTCTGATGAAACTCCTCACTAGGTAAGCAGGGGGAGATCAGTAAACACTAGGATATACCAGCGGGTGGTGTGTTTTTAGAAAGGTATTTGCATGTATTTGAGAAACAGTTGCAGGTCTTCTCTTTGTTACAGTAGCAAGGTTGAAGTCCATGGAGAAAGCTGGAGTAGTTGAGGAGGCCAGACACGGTGCTGTGGGAACACAACAGAGAAGCAAAAAGTGCTGGCTGCAGTCTTGCACTGTGCTTCGGTGGGTGGCTGTAATTGACCGTACACCTCACAGGGAGAGCACCTTAGGAGCAGGGAACACTGCAGACGCATATAAGGAGGATGGAACTGTTAGTCAGCTTGCCTTAAAAGGGTTTGTGGAGGCCAAGTTACCGAAAGAGAATGGACAGCCCTTCCTCAATAATATCATAATTTCTCAGGGACAGATGGATCATCCAAGAAGCACTATATTAGATGGTCTTCGAGGTACAGTGTCCAGTCCCTCTCCTAGAAGATCAGCAGGGACTCTGTCCCTGCATTCTAAGGTCCCTGTACCTTACAGTACAGGAAAGGGCCAAGAGACAGTGACATCATCGTCAGCTATATTCTGCTCTGAATTCCTAGCTTGTTTGAGAAGGGGTAGCAAGTACTCGTTCGCTTGAAACTTCTTTTTTTTATTTTAAAGCTTTAGTCCATAAACGGGCCTTTTCTCATTTGTTCTTTTTAAATTAGTGCATATTAATTACGCAAATTTTTGGGTTTCACTGTGGCATTGTCATACACACATATAACCTACCTTGACGGTATGCATCCTCCCGTTCCTCTCCCTTCCTCCCTTCCCTCCCTCAGCATCCCTCATCTCCTTAGTCTGCATGAGACTTCCTTATTGCTTCAGGGCCGTTAGAGATTTTCCAGCAGAAAGTATAAATGATTGTTAAGTACCGCTGTGGTTAAGGGTTCTAGGTGGGCAAGATCAAGTCCCCTGATCTGGTGGTGACATTTTCTGTTGCTTGTGTGGTAGCTACTTCAGGGGCGTCAGAGTAAATTGCTGGCTGTGCATTGTTTTCCAACACCAGCCACCAGTTCTCTGATTTTCTAGACACCAACTGGGTATTCAGCAACTCAGTTCAATCCCAATGCTAAGTACCTGAAGTTAGCAGGGGACCCATAGCTTAAGGCCCCAGTCTCTCAAGATGGACCTCCATTCAGGTGGCAAGTCCCGAGCCGTCTGTGCTTTTGATTGAATGGCTGTAAACTGAGTTTCCACGACCCTCCGGTCAGGCTTGATCACTTTCTAGAATGGCTCACAGAACTCAGGAAAGTACTTCGCTTGTGTTTAGAGGTTTATGGTAAAGGACACAACTCAGGAACAGCCAAATGGTGGAAATACGTAGGGCAGGATGTGGGGGGTGTAGGTGGCTTCGTGCCCTCTCTGCATAGCACCTTCTACGACCTTGAAGCTTTGAGGATCACCTTCTTTTAGGGTTTTTATAGAGCGTAATCTCCAGACCCCTCCGTCCCAGAGGTTGAGAATGGCGCTGACAGTTCCAGCCCTCTAATCACCTTGTCTTGCTGGTGACCTGCCGCATCCAGAGCCTAGGGGCCCCACCCTAAATCACCTCATTAGCACAATCCCGGGCATGATCAGAAGGGGATCCTTATGAATAGGAGAAGATACTCCTTTCATTCAGGAAATTCTGCAGGTTTAAGAAACTATGCCAGGGCAAGGGGTAAACACCAAATGTATTTCTGCATCATATCACACTGGCAAAATATGCAGTCAAACAAATTGCTATGTCAAGTCTTTTTTTGGTGTTTGTTTATTTTCTTTTTTAAATTTTATTGGTACATTTTAGATATACATAATGGTCACATTCATTAGAGGAGGTTTGTACCTGTACCTGATAGTTCTTGATTCTTTTTTCCCCAGTCCCCTCTCCTCCCCTCAACTCCACCCCCTCCTTATTTACAAAGATTTTCTTCCTTTTTTTTCTTTTCCCTTCCTTCCTTTCTACCTCCCACTCCCTTGTTCTTCTTCCCATTTGAATATTTTCTTCCTATTTGGGTGTTTGTTTCTTTATCAGTCTTCATAAAAATTCCAAACGTATGCATAGACCTTCTTCCTTTTTCTTATTAAACATTCTATTTTGAAATAATTCCCTACTTAAGAGAATGGTCACAGCTAGATGTAGTGGTGCATGTCTAATCTCAGCACTCCCGGAGGCTGAGGCAGGAAGATTGAAAAAGTTCAGTCCTAGCCTGGGCACCTTAGCAAGACCTTGTCTCAGAATTAAAAATAAAACAAGACTGGTGATGTACAAAGTCCCTGGGCCTGAGTTCAATTTCCAGTACAGAGATAGAGGGAGAGATTAATTGAATACAAGACTAATAGAAAAAAAAGAGTAATAGAAAGAACTCCCATATACCTTTGCTCAGATTTACCAGTTAACATTTGGCCATATTAATTTTACCATTGTCATTTATAATTCGTGTTCTCTCTGTGTGTATTATGTACATGTGTTTGTATGTGTATGATACACACACACAGCTGTGTGACAGAGTTGTGAAAGTTGTCAGAATCAACTTGCGTAACTACCACAAAAGTCTGTCTGAACTACAAGCTTGCAAAGGCCACTACAACCTTATACAAAAAGTATTTTTTGTAGAAATAAACTTTTTACTTTTAGAAATTGTCTAGTATTAAGCAGAACCACCTTCAACAGCCCACTGGGGTGGCAGTTGGAGGGTGCCCAGGATTCGGTGCTAGGCCACACTCCAAAAAGTATTTCTGTAAGGGCTTCTGTCAGTATCTGTTCAACCTCAGATGAAAGCCACTCTAGTTATCAACCACTGTACTCGTAATGTTCAGGAAGTTTAACATTAGTACAGTAATATTTTCTAATGTATACAACTTGTTATCATTTTACTAATTGTTTTAATAGTGTTCCTTTTTTTTTAAAGCAGTTTCTCCTCCCGATTTAGGAAGGATACTGATCTGAGAGATACCAACTCTCCTTACATGTTAAGGGATAACACCTGACCTGCTTTCTCTGCAGGGTTAAAAGTAAATTTTACATATAATACTGTCCTCTCAGTCATGGGGTGTTCTTCTTACTGTCTTGATTTTCAGGCTAGGAATCTCAGGGTAGTCTTGGACGCCTCTCCATTTTTGCTTTTGTCCTTTAAAGGACTGTCTCCTTCGGGAAGGACGGGAGGCCTGCCTAGGCTTTATTGCTTGTGGCAGGACAAAGGGCATCTCTGGGGCTGACTGACTGTGACCTATCAGGAGGGTATTTTGACCTGATAACTTTAACAGTACCTAACCCATAACCTTATGTGCCCAGAAACTTTTTTTTCTGGTATATTTCAGGCTGGACTTGAGCTCACTATGTAGCCCAGGCTGGCCTTGGACTTGTGGCAGTCCTCCTGCCTCAGCCTCCCAAATGCTAGGATTATTGGCATGTGCCACCATGCCCAGCAGTGCCCGGAAACTTTAAAAAACTATACCAGGGAATGAGTGTATCAAATGCATTGTCCCAATGCTCATGCGAGTGGATGAATCAAGTCACTCCTGCTCATGGCTTTCCATGTGTAATGGTCATTTTAGTCACTTGAGTGTGCTCGTTCTCTGTAATAGGGTTAGTGGTGATTAATTGTTGGAAATGGTTAGAATAAAGGCATAATTCTTTCAGAATATGCTAAGCTCCAAAGTAGAAATCACACACTTCTAATTGGAATATCTGAAGCTGCACTAGATCTAGCAGATTCTAGCTGGATTTAACTGATGTTTTTCTCTGTTCTTCAGATCTTAATGTTGTAAGCATTTTTTTCTTGTACAAGTCTTTACTGAGATACAGAGAAATTCTTAATCCAGAAACTGTCCGAGTGAGTAAAATACCTTGCTCCATTTTGTGTTGATGAAATTAATTTCAGTCTGAGATGGCACCTTCTTTACTTCTTGTTTCTAGTGTCATTCATGTGCTTCTTAAAATGTATATCGCCGGGTGTGGTGGTGCATGCCTGTAATCCCAGCACTCAGGAGGCTGAGGCAGGAGGATCATTGTAAGTTTGAGACCACCCTGGGCTACAAAGTGAGCTCAAGGCAAGCCTGAACTGCATAGCAAGACCCTGTCTCAAAACAAAACAAAACAAAATTTGTACGTACATTTTTGATAGTCAAACCATAAACTCAAAATATCAGGATATGTTTGTAATGGCAGGAGAGGCAGCTGAACCTGGCTTGTGTAACTAGAAGGGCCAGCCATAAGGATGAGCTTTTGGTGTTGGTTTGAATTAGAGATGCTTGAGGCTATCAAAGCCCTACTTCTGATGGTGTTGGCTTCATTTTCAGGCTTAATTACCTCTTGGTGGCAGAATAGCTGCAGCAGTTCTGGACTTCACGTCCTCACAGCATATTGTACAAAAGCACAGTAAACTGATTTCTTTCCCAGAGACCTCCAGCGGGTCTCTCCTTTTACTGGCATGAGTTGAGGTGTATGCCCGTTCCTGAGCCAGCCCATTTCAGAGAAATGCATGCAGTGATAGGCTTAGACCTGGACTACTGGGCTAATTAATAATCCATGACGAGAAAAAAAGGGGGCCTCCAACATGCTTTGGAGGGACCAGCTTCTCACAAAGCATTGACTGACCGATTGGGATGAGATGAAACCTGAGGGAAAATTTGGCATATTCTTGGGAAGAGGGAAAAGAGGAACGAATGTTTGGTAGGCAACTAACAGTAACTCTTATTTTTTAGGTATATGCAAAGTTTTCTTGAACTTTTAGAATATGAAAATAAGAGCCCTGAGGATCCAAAGGTCTTAGATAAGTAAGTATACAACCACTTACCTGAAAGTAAAAATAAGTAGGTAAAAAAAATGTTTTGGTAAATGGAATTCATGTCCTTAAGACCCAGGAAATATAATTTGGACAAAAGCATTGGTTTCTTTAGTGAGTAAGTGACTCAACGTTGGAGTTTTTAAATTTTTGAGTTAAGAATTTAGCATAGTACACAAGGAATAATAATGCTACTTCAAATTACTGTTTCGTGACCCCGTTCTTAATGCATTTAGTCAAGGTGAACTTGGTCCTAAGTCTAAATATTGCAGTACATGTTCCACCTAGTGGTAGGTTTAAGAATGCAGTGGCCTCCACATGTGCAGGAATTATCTGCCCAATCCTTTGCAGTTTTAAAATTTTTTCAATGGGGTATTACATTTGAGCACAGGATAACTGTAATGCTTTTATTTTGGGGAAGCATAAAAAATGTGCTTTTAATGTAACAACCTGAATTCTGTTGCTGCCATTATGCACAGAGAGCGCTAAGTTCTCAAGCTGATGGGAAGTATTTGTTTTTCATTTTTTACTTCGCTAAGAAACATTAACCCTAGCTGTGTGGGCTTTTTCTCCAAGAGCAATTGTTTCCTTCACATTAATTTCTTCCCGTCTCATGCCGGTCTGAGTGAACACACATAGCAGGCCTGTTGTGCTGAGAAATTTCTAAGTATAAATCTAACCCACATAACTAAGGAACAGACACCTGACATGCAGGTGTTGCGTAAGAAGAACCAGGGAAACAGCACGTTATACAGACAACCTGAGGTAGCACTTAACCCAGACCTCTGAATTCACAGATAAGGAAACCGAGCTCAGGGTTGTGAAATGACTTGCCCAAGATGGTGACCATTCTTAGCAGACATAGGACGTAGCATACCCAGCTCCTTTTCCCGGGCACACTGTGTTCTTTACCACGTACTGTACTGGCAGAACTGCTGGTTTGATTCTTGGGTATTTATCCAAGTTCATAAAATAAGATGCAAAGAAGAGAAGGCCCTGACCTGCTTTATACTTTGCGAAGTTTTTGTCTAAGAAGTCTATGAAATGTAGAAGGAGCAAGCATTAGATTAGCGCCCCAAATGCAGTAGTTTCCTTGATACAAACCAGTGCTGTCGTTAAAGGTGTCAGTATTAAATGAATCGAATCCAGAAGCTTTGTTTTCTCAAATGTCATTAGGTGGTGACATTTTGTTCAGCTGAAATCCTACAAATGAGGGCTGGCCTCCCCAGCTCTAAATTTGAGGACATAGATTTGTAGAAGAACATTATATTAAGTTTCTGCCATGTTTTTCTGGAATCCTGTCTTGATTTCTGGAACAGATTATCAGTCAGATGCAACTTATGGACATAAGCCTGCTTTGTAAACAGCCAGCCCTGAGTCCAGTGTGTGCTAGGTCTTCATAATAATAGCTCCCACTCAGGGAAGTTCCGTAACTTGCCCAGTTCACCAGCCTGCTTAGGGGCGGTGGGATTTGAAAAACCCACTGCTCTTGGGAGATGGGGGAGTGTAAGGTTAGTGAGTGTCATGGTGGTGGTCTCTTCGGTTTAGTGAGAGGTTATATGACGTTGCCAGCTGGGACTCACGTTAGTGAAGTTAAGTAGCAGAGAGGACAAGTGTGGTCACGGTGGTAGAGCTCAGAAGAGCCTGGAAGATTGGGGGGTGTTGTGGGAACTGGACCACTCAGGTAAGCCTCTTCCCTTCAGACAAATTGCAAGGCTTCTCTACTGCAGCGGATTGTTTCATTTCAGGACTGTTTCACTTACATAAATGTTGTAGAGTATCACATAATGACAAATGGTCCATTGTAAAATTTCTTCTGAATAATCGTGTCCTTCTAATTTCTGAGTTGATTATTCCTCTCTGCTGTCATTGTATGTGTATATGTGTTACAGAAATAGTTCATCATTGAGAAATACAAGACTGTTCAGATAAGTAAAATGGAAACTTCTTCCACTAGCAAGGGACAGCTGCTGTTAACATTTTCCTTCTGTCTATGCTTTTTCCTAAGCATGCATATATTTATATATGTAAAGATTTTTATAAAAAGTGTCTACATCATAGATCTGCACCATTATTAGCAGCTTCATAATGCATTGTGCAGTGACAAGGATACATTTGGACGCATGCTTTGTTAGGTGATACCTTCCTTCCCCCTCCCACCGCTCCCTTCCCCTTCTCTCCCCTTCTCTCCTTGCCTTCCATTCTCTTTCCCTTTCCATTTCCTTTCCACAGTACTGGGAATGGAACCCAGGGCCTTCACACTGAGCTACATCCCCAGCCCTTTTTATTTTTTATTTTGGCAGGGTCTCCTTAAATCTGTGAGTTGCCCAGGCTGGCTTCAAACTGTTGATCCACCTGCCTCAGCCTCCCAGAGTGCTGGGCTTACAGGCGTGCACCACTACTCCCAGCTTTCATTTTTGCGTGAACATCATCGAGCAGTGATGGTGAGCCTTTTAGGGATGAGTGCCCAAACCACAACCCAGGACCCACCTACTGCGAAGTGCCAGCACTGCAATCAAACCTGAATACTGAGGTCTTAGTTTAGAAAAACATCTCATGCACTAACATTTTTTGTCTTAAAAGAAAAACAAATAACACATGTGCCGTAGGTTTGCCACCACCGCCAGAGTATACTTGCACAAACTAATGGTTACGAGGTTTCTGAGCTACATAACTTTATGACCCTGCCAGTGTATTGGGATCTGTCATTGTCAGAGACACCGTTATGGGGCACACGACTCCTCATATCGGTAGTCTGTTGTTACATTGGAGACTGGTTTGTAGTTTTCTTGCTGCTACCAAGTGTGCTGTAGACAACAGCTTTTAAAAACAACTATTCTCTTTGGTTATTTTGCTAGGATCAATCCTGGAAGTGGAATTATTTTATTTAAGCTTTGATATGTGTTGTTAAATTGCCCTTAGAAATGTGACACCGGTTCTTCTTTGGTAAACAGAGAATAGTATCACATTTATTTTTTAACTTTCCTTTTTGTGAGGGTAAAGTTATGAGCATTTGTGTTTTTGCTCTTTGGTAAATTTTCCACTGAAACCTTTTACTTAGTTTTGTGATAGGGTGCTTCTCTTTCCCTTTATTAAGTGTAAAAAGTTTTGCGATATATTTTTCCAGCCTCACTGTTTTCTGTTGATAGTGTATTTCCTATAGAATTACTGAAATTCTACATAGTCATGCCATTTGTTTCTTCATATCATTTGTTTCTGCCTTTTGAATTAAGCTAAGAACAGTTTTCCTTACCCCGGTTATACTCTTAGCCACTTGATTTTCTTTTATCATTCTATGATCTCACCCTTCTACTTTTTCAATCCACTTTTTTGCCTTAAGGCTTGAACTTGGGATGAGACTTTGTTAGCCTGCCATCCCAATTAATGATTGTTTTCCTACTGATTTGCAGTGTCACTTACTCAGTGTGCTAAATTTTTTACACTCATACTCACTGTTGAGCCAAACTTTTTTTGATTCCATTGAATGATTTATCTTTCTATTCGTAGTTATGATTTTTAATATATTTTTCCTATTTATCTTCATAATACTATGCCAGAATACTCTTTTTTTGGGGGGGGTACTGGGAATTAAACTTGGGACCTTGCACTTGTCAGGCAGGCACTTGTGCCGCTGAGCTATATCCCCAGCCCCATATGCCAGAATACTTGAATAAGTTTATTTATTTACTTTATGAGACTGGGTCTTCCAGTTTCCCAAGCTGGTCTTGAACTCCAGGGATCAAGGGATCCTCCCACCTCCTGAGTCGCTGGGCTGTAGGCACCTGCCACTGTGCCTGCCATATATAAATTTATTTTAATTGTCTTTCTTTTATCTACATTTCATCATTACATTTTATTGCTATAAGAAATTGACTTCAAAAAGTTCCTTTAAAAGTTTGACATTCTTCATGTATTCATAGGAGCTATTGTTTTGAGACTCCATTAATAAATCCTTGCAGTTTCTTTTTGATGGGGGGAATTGTCCTCATGTTGTCAGAAGAAATACTGATATATTCTTCAGCTTCTTATTCAACAAGCATTTATAGAACCTGTATTATATGTAATCACTTATCCAAAAAGTCCTACAATGTGTTTGAGCACTTTTTCTATGCTGGGACCTTTTACTTTGTGCATGTTTGAAAGAAGAATTTCTGTAGAAAGTTTTAAGCACACATTTGGGTAATACTTTAGTTTCTTATAAGTACTTTCTTTTAGGACATAATGAAAATCTACAAAAATCTGAGCAGATAACCAGCCTGGGAACGGAGCTGTTGATCCACCTGCCTCAGCCTCGCAGAGTGCTGGGCTTACAGGCGTGCACCACTACTCCCAGTTTTCATTTCTGTGTGAACATCATAGAGAGTGATGGTGAGCATTAACCCGAGAGACACAAAGACTGATCATGTTTTGTTTCCTTCCCACACAGCTTTCTACAAGTTCTGATTAAAGTTAGAAATAGACACAACGACGTGGTTCCTACAATGGCACAAGGAGTGATTGAATACAAGGAGAAGTTTGGATTTGATCCTCTAATTAGCAGTAACATTCAGTATTTTCTGGATCGATTTTACACCAATCGCATCTCTTTTCGCATGCTTATTAACCAGCATAGTAAGTTGGGTTTTGTTGTTGCAGTTTTGAAAAGGTAACCAGAGTGCTTTCCGGCAAGTTTTCCTCTTGCTTTCCTGTTAATTCACTGGGCTGCATACTTTTGCTACAGAAATTTTATTTCTGTGTTAATTTTTGTATCTTGCTACATTGCTAAATTTGGTTATTAATCCAACATTGTTGGTGGAGATATAAACTAGTTCTACCACTATGGAAACCTGTATGGAGAGTCCTCAAAAAACTGAAACTAGAGATTCTATTTGACCAAGCTATTCCCCTTCTCGGTATTTTCCCAAAGAGTTAAAAGACATCATATCACAGTGATACATGCATCCCCATGTTTATAGCAGCACAATTCATAATTGCTGAATCTCGGAAGCAACTTATATGTCTATTAACAGATGAATGAATCAAGAAAATGTGGTACTTACACACAATGGAGCACTACTCTGCCACAAAGAGATAAACTTGAGTCCTTTGTGGGAAAATGGATGCACCTTGAGACCATAATGTTCAATGAAATAAATCAGACACGCAAGCTTAAGTATCATGTGGTTTCTCTTATATGAGAAACCAAAAATACAAATAAAGAGAAAAAGAAAAGATAATAGGAAGTAGACAGATGTTTCTCAAATAGGAATGGGAGCAAGAGATAGTGGCAGAGGGGAAAGGGGAGGGAAGGGGGATGAAGAAAGGAACGGAGATGTATCGTGTACACATGCCAACTCCACGCAAGGAATGTGAGCATTACGTACTGCAAACATGGACTAATAAAAGAAACTGACAAGATTTTTCATTTCTATTTCCGTTTTTCTTAAGTGAATCTTGTCTGCAAAAAAGCTGTTAGTATTTTTTGTTAAACAAGATCCTTGGAAGGCTTTTGTGACGCTTGTATTAGAGACAAGACCTTTTAAGCCACTGCTGTTACATTCTTGGTGGGCACGAGGGACCTGCTTTAGTGACAACTGCGTATCCATCTCTGAATATCTTCATGTGTTCTACTCTTTATCCAGGATATTATGTTTTTCCTTTTTAGTGTTGAAAACTTCAGTACTGGAAATACAGAATTGGTATGCGGCAAATAAGCACTCAATGCTTTATTCAGTGATCAGTGAAATCCAGCTAAATGAGATTGTCAGCTCATAATCCCTCAACTGAGAGTTTCGGTCTGTTCTCTAGAGTGATAAGCACATGTTAAAAAAACTAAAGTTTCATCACGGAAAACTCTTTGGCTCCTGTTCAGCGTTGTCCCTTTGATTTCATAATTCTTAAGAAAAAGCAGGGGGCTGGGGATTTAGCTCAGCGGCAAAAGCGCCTGCCTGGCATGCGCAAGGTCGTGAGTTCAGTTCCCAGTACCAGAGAAAAACCAAAAAAAAAAAAAAAAGAAAAAGTATTCACCCATCTATAGCCTAGTTTTCTGTCCTTGTTGAATCAGCCAGTGAAGAGAGCACCTTTATTTTACTAATTGATTTGGATAAGCTAATGTTATACAACTATTAAGCATGGCTTTATTTTAAATGCATATCTTTTAAGAACAAATATATGGCAATTCACATTAAAAATAACCTAAATATTATTTGACTAAACTATAACTGTAATTTCTTTCTGATCTAAATATGAACATATACCATATATGTACATGTTTTTAGATCATCAGGTAAGGTTATACAGCTCTGATTTTCTTCCCCTTAATCATTACAACTTTAAGTACTGGCTTAATGCCCATACTTAATATTTTTCTGAATTTATATTCTCCTATTTTATTTAGCCATTTTTGTAGAGTCCAAGTTATTCCCAGTTTTTGTTAGATTTAAAAATAAGTACACAAGTCTGTAAGCCCAGCACTTGGGAGGCTGAGGCAGGAGGATCACCATGAGTTTGAGGCCAGCCTGGGCTATGTAAGTGAGTTCAAGGACAGCCTACACTACACAGCAAGACCCTGTCTCAAAAAAAAAAA